ACTTCTCCTGCCTCAGCCTCCTGAGTAGCTGGGACTCCAGGCATGTGCCACCACACACAGCTAATTTTGTATTTTTTTTTTTTTTTTTTTTGGAGACGGAGTTTCGCCCTTGTTACCCAGGCTGGAGTGCAATGGCGCGATCTCGGCTCACCGCAACCTCCGCCTCCTGGGCTCAGGCAATTCTCCTGCCTCAGCCTCCTGAGTAGCTGGGATTACAGGCACGTGCCACCATGCCCAGCTAATTTTTTGCACTTTTAGTAGAGACGGGGTTTCACCATGTTGACCAGGATGGTCTCGATCTCTCGACCTCGTGATCCACCCGCCTCGGCCTCCCAAAGTGCTGGGATTACAGGCTTGAGCCACTGCGCCCGGCCTTAATTTTGTATTTTTTAGTAAAGCCGGGGTTTCACCATGGTCTCAATCTCTTGACCTCGTGATCTGCCTGCCTCGGCCTCTCAAAGTATTGGGATTACAGGTGTGAGCCACCGCAAGGTGTTGCTATGTTGCGTAGGCTGGAGTGCAGTGGCTATTCATTGGTGTGATCCTACTACTAATCAACACAGGAATAATTAATTATTATTTCTATTCAAAATATTGATAGAATTCCTAGCCAGAGAAATTAGGCAGGAAAGAGGGAAAGGAAAGAAAAGTGAAAAAGGGAGTCAGGGAGAGAGGAAGGGAGGCAGGGAGGAAGGAAGCGAGGCAAGGAGGGAAGGAGAGGGAGGAAGGGAGGGAGACAGAAAAGGAAAGAAAGAGAAAAAATAAAAAAGAAGAAAAAAGCATTCAAATTGGAAGGGAAGAACTAAAGTTATCTCTTCAGATCACATGATTTTTTTTTTTTTTTTGAGTCTTGCTCTCTGTAGCCCAGGCTAGAATGCAGTGGCGCCATCTCAGCTCACTGCAACCTCCAACTCCCAGGTTCAAATGATTCTCCTGCCTCAGCTCTCCGTGTAGCTGGGATTATAGGCACCCACCACCGTGCCTGGCTAATTTTTGTATTTTTTTAGTAGAGACGGGGTTTTAACCATCTCGGCCAGGCTGGTCTCGAACTCCTGGCCTCATGATCCACCTGCCTCGGCTTTCCAAAGTGATGGAATTACAGGTGTGAGCCTCTGTGCCCGACTACATGATCTTACATGTAGAAAATTCTAAAGATCGGCCAGGCGTGGTGGCTCAAGCCTGTAATCCCAGCACTTTGGGAGGCCGAGGCGGGTGGATCACGAGGTCAAGAGATTGAGACCATCCTGGTCAACATGGTGAAACCCCGTCTCTACTAAAAATACAAAAAATTAGCTGGGCATGGTGGCGTGTGCCTGTAATCCCACCCACTCAGGAGGCTGAGGCAGGAGAATTGCCTGAACCCAGGAGGCGGAGGTTGCGGTGAGCCGAGATCGTGCCATTGCACTCCAGCCTGGGTTAACAAGAGCGAAACTCCGTCTCAAAAAAAAAAAAAAAAAAAGAAAAGAAAATTCTAAAGATCAACCTAAAAAAAAAAAAAAATTAGAACTAATAAATTCAGCAAAGTTGCAGGCTACAGAAGCAACACTCAAAAATCACCTGCATTTCTACATACCAACAATGAACAATCTGAAAAGGAAATTAAGAAAGTGAACGGGCATTGTGGCTCAATGCCTGTAATCTCAGCATTTGGAAGGTCAAGGTGGGCAGATCTCTTCAGGCCAGGAGTTTAAGACCCTGGTATTCAAGACCCAGGAATTCAAGTGGTGTGCACTTGTAGTCCCAGGTACTCGGGAGGCTGAGGCATGAGAATTGACTGCACCTGCGAGGTAGAGGTTGCAGTGAGCTGAGATTGTGCCACAGCACTCCAGCCTGGTGACACAGCAAGATTCTGCCTCAAAAAAAAAAAAAAAAAAAAAAAAGCAATTCCATTTATAATATCAAAAAAAAAAAAAAATAGGCTGGGTTTGGTGGCTCATGCCTATAATCCCAGCACTTTGAGAGGCCAAGGTGGAAGGTCACTTGACCCCAGGAGTTTGAGACCAGCCTAAGCAATATAGTGACACCCTATCTCTATTTTCAAACACGTAAAAAAGAAATTTTTATTTTGAGACAAAGTCTGGCTCTATTGCCCAGGCTGGAATACAGTGGCACAATCTTGACTCACTGCAACCTCTACTTACTGAGCTCAAGCCATCTCGTCCCACCTCAATCTCCTGAGTAGCTGGGACTACCGGCACCACCATCATGTCTGGCTAATTTTTATTTTTATTTTTTTTTTGTAGAGACAGAGTTTTGCCATGTTGCTCAGGCCGGGTGCAGTATTTTGCACTTCCCTTGAGGCCAGTTGTTGGAGACCAGCCTGGCCAACATAGTGAGACTTCTGTCTCTTTTTTTTTTTTTTTTTTTTGAGACAGAGTTTCTGTCTTGTTACCCAGGCTGGAGTGCAATGGCGCGATCTCGGCTCACCGCAACCTCCACCTCCTGGGTTCAGGCAATTCTCCTGCCTCAGCCTCCTGAGTAGCTGGGATTACAGGCACGCACCACCACGCCCAGTTAGTTTTTTGTATTTTTAGTAGAGACGGGGTTTCACCATGTTGACCAGGATGGTCTTGATCTCTCGACCTCGTGATCCACCCGCCTCGGCCTCCCAAAGTGCTGGGATTACAGGCTTGAGCCACCGCGCCCGGCCAAGACTTCTGTCTCTTAAAAGAAATAAAAGCTGGCGCACTCCAGTAGTCCCAGCTACTCTGGAGGCTGAGGTAGGAGGATTAAGCCCAGGAGTTCGAGGCTGCAATGCGTTATGGTCACATCCGTGAATGGCCACTGTACTCCAGCCTGAGTGACAGAGCAAGACTCCATCTCTAAAATAAATAAATAAATAAATAAATAAATAAATAAATAAATAAATTTCCTTAAGTAGCCAAATTTCCTTAAGTTTTTGATTACTAGTGAGACTGAAGATTTTCAAATATCAAACATTTGTATTTCCTTTGTGTGTGTGAACTGTTGAAAAACATTCACTTTGGGCTGGGCATGGTGGCTCAAGCCTGTAATCCCAGCACTTTGGGAGGCCGAGGCGGGTGGATCACGAGGTCAAGAGATCAAGACCATCCTGGTCAACATGGTGAAACCCTGTCTCTACTAAAAATACAAAAAGTTAGCTGGTCATGGTGGCGCGTGCCTGTAATCCCAGCTACTCAGGAGGCTGAGGCAGGAGAATTGCCTGAACCCGGGAGGCGGAGGTTGCGGTGAGCCGAGATCGTGCCATTGCACTCCAGCCTGGGTAACAAGAGCGAAACTCCGTCTCAAAAAAAAAAAAAGAAAAGAAAAACGTTCGCTTTGAATGAAGAGACCTTCCAAACAAGCTTTGTGTGAGCAACATGGCTGTTTATTCACCTGGGTGCAGGTGGGCTAAAGCCTAAAAGGGCATTAGCAAAGGGCAGTGGGATAGGAGTTGGTTTTATAGGTTTGGGTAGTTTTTTGGGGGGCGGGGGTGCTACAGAGTAAGATCACAAGTTTAGTTACAATGGCAGGGTTGGGTGAGAGGTATTTAATTATCATAAGAACAGTTAAGATGGCAGGGTTGGGTGAGGGGCTCATTCAAGGAAGCTCTGCTGGATGATCAGGGACAATAGCAAACGCAGGTAGGGAGTGGGAGACATCAGCCAGGGCAGGCAGGACTTCAGACTTTCGGGCTCCAGGCTTGCATATAAGACCTGACATTCAGGCTCCAGGCTTGCATATGGAGACCTGACATGAACCATCAGTTCATACTTTATACCTATGCATGTATGGCAGGCGTTAATCTTCCCTATCAATTTACATGAGCCCTTCGTATATTATGGTATTTCTCCTTTATCTATCAGTATTTGTTCCAAATTTTCCAATTGGTGTTTCTCTTTTAATTCTGTGTCCATTCAACAAATATTTATTCAATGTTTACTATGTTCTCAGTTCTATGTGTTGCTCTTTTTTTTTTTTTTTTTTTTTTTTTTGAGACGGAGTTTCGCTCTTGTTACCCAGGCTGGAGTGCAATGGCGCGATCTCGGCTCACCGCAACCTCCGCCTCCTGGGTTCAGGCAATTCTCCTGCCTCAGCCTCCTGAGTGGGTGGGATTACAGGCACACGCCACCATGCCCAGCTAGTTTTTTGCACTTTTAGTAGAGACGGGGTTTCACCATGTTGACCAGGACGGTCTCGATCTCTCGACCTCGTGATCCACCCGCCTCGGCCTCCCAAAGTGCTGGGATTACAGGCTTGAGCCACCGCGCCCGGCCAACTGTGTTGCTCTTTACATATAGAATTACACAATTTTTAGTTCTTCCATTGTTTAAAGTTTAGAAAAAGTACACTTAGGGGCGGGGCGCAGTGGCTCATGCCCGTAATCCCAGCACTTAGGGAGGCTGAGGCAGGTGGATCACCTCAGGTCAAGAGTTCGAGACCAGCCTGGCCAACATGGTGAAACCCTGTGTCTACTAAAACCATAAAAATTAGCCAGGTGTGGTGGTGTGCGCCTGTAATATCCCAGCTACTAGGGAGGCTGAAGTAGGAAATCACTTGAACCTGGGAGGCGGAGGTTGCAGTGAGTGGAGACTGCACTACTGTACTCCCAGCCTGGGCAACAAAGTAAGACTCAGTCTCAAAAAAAAAAAAAAAAAAAAAAAAAAAAAGAAAACAAAAGAAAAGAAAGAATAAAGAAAGAAAAACTGCACTTAAAGATCAGGACAGCCGGGCGCAGTGGCTCAAGCTTGTAATCCCAGCACTTTGGGAGGCTGAGGCGGGCGGATCACAAGGTCGAGAGATCGAGACCATCCTGGTCAACATAGTGAAACCCCGTCTCTACTAAAAATACAAAACATTAGCTGGGCATGGTAGTGCATGCCTGTAATCCCAGCTACTCAGGAGGCTGAGGCAGGAGAATTGCTTGAACCCAGGAGGCGGAGGTTGCGGTGAGCCGAGATCGTGCCATTGCACTCCAGCCTGGGTGACAAGAGTGAAACTCCGTCTCCAAAAAAAAAAAAAAAAAAAGATCAGGACAAGTGCTTGCTTTGGCAGCACATATACTAAAATTGGAAAGATACAAAGAAGATTAGCATGGCCACTGCACAAGGATGACATGCAAATTCATTAAGTGTTACATATATTTTTTTAAAGATTTAAACATAAGACCTAAAACCATAAAAACCCTAGAAGAAAACCTAGGCAATACCATTGAGGACATAGGCATGGGCAGAGAATTCATGACTAAAACACCTAAAGCAATGGCTACAAAAGCCAAAACAGACAAATGGGATCTAATTAAACTAAAGAACTTCTGCACAGCAAAAGAAACTATCATCAGAGTGAACAGGCAACCTACAGAATGGGAGGCCGGGCGCGGTGGCTCAAGCCTGTAATCCCAGCACTTTGGGAGGCTGAGGCGGGTGGATCACGAGGTCAAGAGATCGAGACCATCCTGGTCAACATGGTGAAACCCCGTCTCTACTAAAAATACAAAACATTAGCTGGGCATGGTGGCGCGTGCCTGTAATCCCAGCTACTTAGGAGGCTGAGGCAGGAGAATTGCCTGAACCCAGGAGGCGGAGGTTGTGGTGAGCCGAGATCGCGCCATTGCACTCCAGCCTGGGTAACAAGAGCAAAACTCCATCTCTTAAAAAAAAAAAAATAATGGGACAAAATGTTTGCAGTCTGCCCATCTGACAAAGGGCTAATATCCAGAACCTACAATGAACTTAAACAAATTTACAGAAAAAAAACCAAACAACCCCACCAAAAAGTGGGTGAAGGATATGAACAGGTGTTGTAACCGAGAGAGCCCGAAATCACCACTAAGACAAAGACTAGGCCAAATTACAGGGTCTTTATTGCCGGCGGCCATGGAGGACTCGAGTCTCTCTAACCATGGCCCCGAAAGGAAGGTGTCAAGACCATTTATGCCCCTAAACCACCTCCTGGGTGGAGGCGAGGGCGACGGGATTTGGATATTCCGAGGGTCAGGGGACTTTAGACATTCTGATTGTTACTTAAGTGGTTCACAGAAGTCAAGATAAGCGTTAGTTTACACATTGGTAGGGTGGAAAATCACAGACCTTAGTTACTTATTACAAGTCTTAGGTTTTCTGAAAATGACGCAGGGGCCAAAATGTTGTTGGTTTGGACTGCTTGCCTGTCACATAGGGTTACAGAGAGCAGTTTCAACAGAAAGCTGAGGTATGGTCGAGGTATGCAGTTTATGGGGCAATTACCATGTCACACAGGCACTTCTCTTTTTTTTTTTTTTTGAGACGGAGTTTCACTCTTGTTACCCAGGCTGTAATGCAATGGCGCGATCTCGGCTCACCGCAACCTCCGCCTCCTGGGTTCAGGCAATTCTCCTGCCTCAGCCTCCTGAGTAGCTCGGATTACAGGCACGCGCCACCATGCCCAGCTAATTTTTTTGTATTTTTAGTAGAGACGGGGTTTCACCATGTTGACCAGGATGGTCTCGATCTCTTGACCTCGTGATCCACCCGCCTCGGCCTCCCAAAGTGCTGGGATTACAGGCTTGAGCCACCGCGCCCGGCCCGAGGTGGTGGAGGCACTTCTCAAAAGGAGACATTCTTGCAGCCAACAAATATGAAAAAAAGTTCATCATCACTGATCACTAGAGAAATGCAAATTAAAACCACATTGAGGTACCATATCATGCCAGTTAGAATGGCAATCATTAAAAAGTCAGGAGACAACAGATGCTGGAGAGGATGTGGAGAAATAGGAATGCTTTTACATTGTTGGTGGGAATGTACATGAGTTCAACCATTGTGGAAGACAGTGTGATGATTTCTCTAGGGTCTAGAACTAGAAATACCATTTGACCCAGCAATCCCATTACTGGGTATACACCCAAAGAATTATAAATCATTCTGTTATAAAGACACATGCACACGTATGTTTATTACAGCAGTGTTCACAATAGCAAAGACTTGGAACCAACCCAAATGCCCATGAATGATAGACTGGATAATGAAAATGTGGTATATATACAACATGGAATACTATGCACCCATAAAAAAGGGTGAGTTCATGTCACCCTTTATTATGGGTGAAGCTGGAAACCATCATTCTCAGCAAACTAACACAGGAAAAGAAAACCAAACACCGAATGCTCTCACTCATAAGTGGGAGTTGAACAATGAGAACATATGGACATAGGGAGGGGAATATCACACATTGGGGACTGTTGCGGGGTGGAGGGATAGGGGAGGGATAGCATTAGGAGAAATACCTAATGTAGACAATGGGGTGATGGATGCAGCCAACCACCATGGCACATGTATATGTATACACAGAACAAACCTGCATGTTCTGCACATGTACCCCAGAACTGAAGTACAATTTAAAAAATAAAGATCAGGACAAAAAAGCATGTAATAATACCACATATCAGTGTCTGTGGCTAAGAGCTAGCCTCTTCTAGCTCTTATGAACTTGCAATCAGATACTGGGCAAGGATATAGTCATCTGAATGCTTGATTAGGGTTGCAGGATGAATCAAGTTAGTTCATTCACATGGCTGGCAAGTTGGTGGAAGCTTTTTCTCCTTTCCATGTAGGCCTCTTCATAGGGCTGTTTAAGTGGAGTAGTGTGGAAACTGGTTCCCCCCAGAGCAAGAAATAAAAGAGAATCAGAAGGAAAGCTGCAATCAGGGCCTTTGTGACCTAGCCTCAGAAGTCACACACATTTGGCTGTATTCTTTTGGTAAAACACAGTAGCCCTGATTCAAAGGGCTGGTACAGGCCACCAGAGGTGAGAATCTTTGGGGGTCATCTTAGAGCCTGGCTGCTAAGGATCCCGACATTTTTTTTTTTTTTTTTTTTTTTTTTGAGACGGAGTTTCTCTCTTTTTACCCAGGCTGGAGTGCAATGGCACGATCTCGGCTCACTGCAACCTCCGCCTCCTGGGTTCAGGCAATTCTCCTGCCTCAGCCTCCTGCGTAGCTGGGATTACAGGCACGCGCCACCGTGCCCAGCTAATTTTTTGTATTTTTAGTAGAGATGGGGTTTCACCTGTTGATCAGGATGGTCTCGATCTCCTGACCTCGTGATCCACTCGCCTCAGCCTCCCAAAGTGCTGGGATTACAGGCTTGAGCTGCCGCGCCCGGCTCTTTTTTGTTTTTTTCTCTGAGACAAGGTCTTGCTATGTTGCCCAGGCTGGAGTGCAGTGGCTATTCAAAGCCTCCAACTCTTGGGTTCAAGCAATTCTCCTGCCTCTGCCTCCTGAACAGTTGGGACTACAGGCATACACCACCTTCCCAGGCTAATCCTAACATCTTGATTTTCCTGTAATTTACTTTATAAAGCAAGTACTGGGTGGGCACAGTGACCCATGCCTGTAATCCCAACACTTTGGGAGGCTGAAACAGGAGAATCACTTGAGACCAGGAGTTCAAGACCAGCGTTAACAATATAGCAAGACCCCATCTCTATAACAAATTAAAAAAAAAAAAAATAGCTCAGTGTGGTGGCATGAGTCCGTAGTCCTAGCTACTCGGGAGGCTGAGATGGGAGGATCACTTCAACCCAGGAGTTCAAAGCTGTAGTAAGCTATGATGGTACCACTACATTCTTACATTCCAGCCTGGGCAACAGAGCAAGACCCTATCTCAAAAAACAAAAAGTACTGAGAATTTTGCAACACCCAGTACAATTCTAGTTTTGTACCACACTGTTCTCTTAAAACAGCTGTGTCCTCAAACACATATATGCATATGGGTGCACTCAAGCATAAAAATTTTGTTTAGCGTTCCACAAATTAAAGACCCTCTGGTACAGTGTCAGCTCATTAGGTCACCAGAATCCATCTCAAACTCTGAATCCAAGTAAGCAGAGTTCAAGATTGCAGATTAAGGGCCAAAATCTTTACTTCTTTGTACCTACTTGTAATTAGTTAACTGGGAAACACTTCAAGTTTTACCAGAAACCTTTAATTTTTGTAGAAACCTTTACCTGTGTTCAATATTCACTTTAATTAAAAAGCTCTTGTAAATTATACTAATTTGGGGAAAGTGGATTCAGCTTGTTGAGGGGTAATTAACCAAATAGCTGAGGTGGAAGTCTTCGTAGGTGAAAAAGTCATCAAATAAGAGTAAGAAAGCTTGCAGCTTTCACCTCTCGGTCAAGACTGGCAAAGAGGCACTTTTGTGAGATCTTTGGGACTCACTTTTACTTCGCCACTTGTCCCATTTCAATTAAAGCTTGCCAATTCAAGGCTCTAAGAAAACAATACAGTTTTACATTTTGCCAAATCGGGAAATTTCTGGGGCCCCAAAAATTTAGCAGGGAGACTCAGAGGCAATAATGGGGGAGTACGCAGCACCAATTTGGTCTAAAAAGAAGATTGTTCGGACACACACAGCACCCTTATTCCAGCTCTACAACCAAAGCAACGAAGACTTGGGCCGGCTTGGTGCCAAGCCACAGCATTCCCTCCTATTTCCCCACTATGTCCTAACCAACAAGTCATCTTTGGTCACATATTCACCTTAATTATTTAGTTTGAGGCAGGGTCTCACTATCACCCAGGCTGGAGTGCAGTGGCGCGATCTCAGCTCATTGCAACCTCCGCCTCAGCCTGCAGAGCAGCTGGGACTACAGGTAGGCACCACTACGCCCGGCTAGTTTTTGTGTTTTTAGTAGAGACGTTTCACCATGTCGGCCAGGCTGGTCTGGCACTACTGACCTCAAGTGATCCGCCCACCTCGGCCTCCCTAAGTGCTGGGATTACAGGCCTGAGCCACCGAGCCTGGCCACATAATCACTTTAATGTTCTTGTTGAACTTAACTTTGATCAACCTTCCGGTGCAAAAATGTTAGGGTAAAGGGGATCAATAACTGCCACATTTGACATATTTTTGTCATCTTCATCTCCAATTTCCATCCGGGCCTGAGTGACCAAAAACACTCAACATGGGTATCCTGTCTCAACAGACATCAATTTGCAACCACGTCTACCTCTACCAAGGTATTCTTAGTTAAACCTTTAGCTCAGGCAAAGGGAGACACATTAGAGAACACTCTCCGCCCCCGACGAAACAGAGGCTACGGAAGATGTCCACAGACACACAGCCTCGCCCCGTTTCCTTCGCAGTTCTCAGCCACGCCCCTCCCAACCGGAACTACATCCCCCGCGCTCCGCGCCCCCACGCACAGCGTGGCGTAGGCGCCCGAAGCCGCTGGCGCCTGCCAGGCTTCCCGGGAAGCATAGGGCAGGTGCTGGTCGTGCGCATGCTCGGCAGGCGGGGCCGCTGGAGTCTCCCGGCATTGCTATCTGTTACGCTGCCGCCCTCGGGAGCCGGCAGATCCGGGTCTCGTGGCTAAGAGTGACGTGGTCACTCGAATCAAAACAGAGGAGGGGGAGGAAGCTGGCGGCCAGGAGCGGCAGCGGCAGCGACGTCCGGAGCAGCCGCAGCCTTCCGGAAGCTCCAGGCGGTCTTTCTGCCGAGCCTCGGTCCTGACCCCCATCCTCCCCGCCCCATCGGTTGTTGTCTGGGCGGGTGAGTGTCTCCCCCTCTCCCACCAGCGTTTGCTGGCCCACCCTCCCCTCGCCCCAGTTTTAACTAGGGGCTCCTCAGGCTCTCGGGTACTGCGGTGGCTGTGGCGGAACCGGGCTGTTTCTCCAGCTCGGCGGTTCCTGGGCCGGGCTGGCGATTCCGCACCGGGAGAAGCCTCGCTGCTGCCGAGCCCGCGCCCCCCTCCCCACCGCCGCGAAAAGCCTGCAATTGAGCTTTCTCTGGAGGAAGTCTGAGTCGGGACTTGGCAGGAAAGGGCACGGTAGCCACGGGTGGTTTTATTTTTAGGATCAGATAGTCGACACGGGTGGAGGCGTATCGTGGAGTAAAAAGAGAGTCGGAGCTGGAAGGAAAAACTCACAAATCCCGAAATCCACACTATCTTGTTTTCTCGGCTTCCTAGCCCTTTCTGGGTATGGTGAAGTCACTGGGTTGCCTCCTTTGTTGTGATAAATGAGACGAAAACGCTGCCACCCGGAAAGCGAGAGCTTTTAAGCCCCTATTGTGCCGCGAATTTAAAGGATCCCCTTTTTCTGTTTGTTCAGTAAGTGGAACCAAGGCTGACAGTACAGAGGTAGCAGCACCCATTTATTGGAACTAATAATGTGATAAACTGGTTACCGGCTGTATCTGAAGTCCCGCGTTGCTGTTTAAAGGCAGACTTCCCCAAAGTGGCTGTTTATATGTGCTGGGGTTTTAGCCGAGATGGTTTGTTGGCTGAGAGAGTCGGTAGGATGTTTTCAGTTGCCCCAGTTGGCAAAACCGAGGCTGTGGCCTTAATAGAATGTCTTAGTTTTGCATCGAGAGAGTCGGATGAGCTCTACGCAAGTAATAGCTACATTTGCAGAAGAGATCACCCAGTTTTTGTATGTTATTGTCAGTAACAGTTGGAAACTGTAGGTACTATAACTTGGAAAGCGTAAGACCTTCCAGATGTTGGAGGAGTCTTGCGGCTCTTAGGAGGCATCCTCGCTGCCTAGCGCTGTGGAGGTTGCAGGAAGATTGCATTCCCTTCCACTTAGGGTGGCCGGCCGCGCAGATTCCTTTAGTGTAGCCTGCTCCGAACTTGCCGCTTTCCGCGGCCCTGGACAGCACTGCGACCGACCAGAAAACGAAATCCTTTTGTACTTTTTTTTTTTTTTTTTAAATCCTAACATGGTTTTTAAAAAGATTACCCCCGCCCCCAGAACTCATTAATTGAGGTGTTTCTGTGGTCAACAGCAAGAAAGAACAACAGTACGTGATGGTTAATTGCTCCTTATCAAATGCAGGAAGAGTTAGGAATTTAGATTATTTCCTTGAAGGGTATGTCCTTCTGGCATAGCATGGACCTCTTAATGAATCTTTTCTCCAGTGTTTGCCAGTGAGATCCTTTTTCTTACTATCACAGTTGGAATCCTGATTTAGAAGGAAAATTTTATTGAAGTTCTCTTTTTTCAGCTTTTTATGCTAGCCTATAACTAATATTTTTGGCTATACGAAATACTTTGTAATAGAGAAAGTGTTGATAAAAGCAGATAGGATAAAAGAAAAATCAATAATTCTGCCACCCAAAGATCACCAAAATGTTAGTTTATACCCTTCTAAACTACTTTTTTGAATTTGTATATTTTATACAAATACAGTATCATACCACATATGCTTCAGTACATAACTTGCTTTTTTCACATTCTGTTTTTTGAGTAATAATTTGAAATTTTGCAGATATGGACTTGAGACCTTGAATTTTAGGGAGTTTTCACTTTACAGTAGTGCCCCCTTATTCGTGGTTTCACTTTCAGGGGTTTCCGTTTCTGAGGTCAACCGCAGTTCAAAAATAGAATCATATTTTGAGAGACCACATTTACATAAATTTTATGATAGTATATTGTTATAACATTGTATTGTTAACTATTGTCAATCTTTTACTGTGCCTAATTTATAAATTTTATCATAGGTATGTATAGGAAAAAAACAGTCTCTATATATAGGGTTCTATACTATATGGGCTTCAGGCATCCACTGGAGGGGTCTTTGTTTTATTATTTTTTAATTTTGAAATTTAATAGAGGCCGGGCGCAGTGGCTGTCGCCTATAATCCCAGCACTTTGGGAGGCCAAGACGGGTGGATCACAAGGTCAAGAGATCGAGACCATCCTGGTCAACATGGTAAAACCCCGTCTCTACTAAAAATACAAAAATTAGCTGGGCATGGTGGCACACGCCTGTAGTCCCAGCTACTTGGGAGGCTGAGGCAGAAGAATTGCTTGAACCCAGGAGGCGGAGGTTGCGGTGAGCCGAAATCGTGCCATTGCACTCCAGCCTGGGTAACAAGAGTGAAACTCCGTCTCAAAAAAAAAAAAAAAAAAAAAAAGAAAGAAATTTAATAGAGATGAGATCTCACTGTGTTGCCCAGGCTGGTCTCAGACTTTGAGCTCAAGTGATCTTCTGGCCTTGGCCTCCCAAAATGCTAGGATTACAGGCATGATGAGCCACCAGGCCCAGCCCACTGGGGTTTCTTTGAATGTATCCCTTGTGGATAATGGGGGACCACTCTATGTTTGCCAAACCGTAATCATTAAAAGCATGGTTTTAAAAGGTTTCCTCACAAATCTCTATGATAATGTAAACTTTAAGAAATCAGGCCGTTCGTGGTGGCTCATGCCTGTAATCCCAGCACTTTGGGAGGCCGAGGCGGGTGGATCACCTGAGGTTGGGAGTTTTTGAGACCAGCCTGACCAACATGGAGAAACCCTGTCTTTACTAAAAACACAGAATTAGCTGGGAATGCTGGTATATGTCTGTAATCCTAGCTAAGTGGAAGGCTGAGGCAGGAGAATCATTTGAACCTGGGAGGCAGAGATTGCAGTCAGCCGAGATCATGCCATTGCACTCCAGTGTGGGCAACAAGAGCAAAACTCTCTCAAAAAAAGAAAAAAGAAATTAATATGCATTGCATGGCAAAGTAAGGCCTCACTTGTTTGGCTCTTGGAAAAGAAAGCACAGCTGGAATTGATGATATCAAAGTTTAAGTCGTTTTTGCTAACTCAGTGGTTTGATTCGGGTGAGATTTAGTTCTATGCCATAGTTATACTCTGTTCCAAATGCTGATCTGCTATTCAGGCGCCAGGCAGTAAGGTCCTAGAAGATTTTAACTTTACATATCACACCTTTTTTTTTTTTTTTTTTGAAGATGGGCATCTTGCTCTATTGTGTAGGCTGGTGGATCTCAGCTCACTGCAGCCTCTGCCTCCCAGGTTCAAATGATTCTCCAACCTTAGCCTCCTGAGTAGCTGGGATTACAGGCACACACCATCACGCCCAATTAATTTTTGTATTTTTAGTAGAGATGGGGTTTCATCATGTTGGCCAGGCTGATGTCAAATGCCTGACCTCAAGTGGTCTGCCCACCTCGGCCTCCCACAGTGCTGGGATTACAGACGTGAGCCACTTCACTTGGCCCACATCACGCTTAATATGCATTGAGTCCTGGTGTATGCCCATTTGGTCCAGTGCTTTACTAGTTGGCACCAAAAGAGCCTGCTGTGGAAGGAAATGTCTGCTTCATCTCAACTTCAAAAGACAAGTACATGCCATGAACTATCTTAAATCTGCTAATTACCTATTTTGAGTTTGAGTCTCATAAACTTACGTAAAACCTTTAAATCTCTGTTTTCATTTTGCGTCTCTTATATAATAAGTCCTAGATGTTTACTACTCATTATGCAACTTAGTTTCTTTTTCTTCAATTTGGCTTAAATTTTAGTGTTCAGTATGTGTTCTAGATTGTCCACTTCCTCCCATCCCTACTGCCATCACCTTTGCTGGGCTAGCTTCATCCCTAATCTATTGCCGCAACTCCTGGTCTCCCTGCTTCCGCTTTGACTTTTATCGTGCATTTCCCTTACCAGCTTAAGAAATCCTGCCGGGCACGGTGGCTCCAGCCTGTAATCCCAGCACTTTGGGAGGCCGAGGCAGGTGGATCATGAGGTCAAGAGATCGAGACCATCCTGGTCAACGTGGTGAAACCCCGTCTCTACTAAAAATACAAAAAATTAGCTGGGCATGGCGGCGTGTGCCTGTAATTCCAGCTACTCAGGAGGCTGACGCAGGAGAATTGCCTGAACCCAGGAGGAGGAGGCTGTGGTGAGCCGAGATGGCGCCATTGCACTCCAATCTGGGTAACAAGAGCAAAACTCCATCTCAAAAAAAAAAAAAAAAAAGAAATCCTTTAAAATGTACATTACCTTGACACTCCCTTGTTGAAAGTCTCCCATCCCTATTCAGAATAAAATCCAAACTCTACCAAAGCTTGCCAGGCGCTCCAGGCTTGCCGCTGCCTTCCTGTCTTATCTTACCTTGTATCCTTCTACTTATTAGTTCAGTACCCTGGAGCCTGGCCACAAGAGTTTCTTTCTGTATTTCAACCCCACTTACGTTTTTGTCCCTGGAACTTGCCAAGCTGGTTCTTGCTGTAGGACCTTATGCACTTGCTTTACCTTGGGGCTTCAGTACTCTTCTCCCAGATCTTGCTGTGGTTGATTCCATTGTGTTTATTAAGGTGTTAGTTCAGACCATGTTTTTGTTCAGGAAAGGATAGTGTTTTCTGACCCTTTTGCAGTCCTGTCCTTAATGAAGTCCATTGTTTTGTTGGTCCTTTTTGCCTGAAGTTGCACGGACAGGAAATGACCTTAAAAAACATTCTGCAGCTGGGCGCAGTGGCTCATGCCTGTAATCCCAGCACTTTGGGAGGCTGAGGTGGGTGGATCGTAAGGTCAGGAAATGGAGACCATCTTAGCCAACATGGTGAAACCCTGTCTTTATGAAAAATATAAAAAATTAGCTGGATGTGGTGGCGCATACCTGTAGTCCCTGCTACTTGGGAGGCTGAGGCAGGAGGAACGTTTGAAACCGGAAGGTGAAGGTTGCAGTGAGCCAAGATTGCACTCCAGCCTGGCAACAGAGTGAGATTGTCTCAAAAAAAAAAAAAATCTGCAAAGACTCCT